ATCGAGAGAAAACTCACAACTTTGAATCACCAGCGCGTGCACTTTGTACCTGCCAAGCTTTGGAATTATGACCGAAGGCTAACTCGGTCAACCCAACGAGTAACAAGCCGCCAACCCAGCTGTTCAATGCATCTTGCGAGATAACGGGCGTCACTGCTAATTCGCGTAGCTGATTTGAAGATTGCTCATCGGAAAAACGGACAAGCATATTTCCAAGGCGTATTGAGAGACCAACAGGCAAGCGTAGAGCTTGTCCCCAACTATATGCTTGAGAACTGGATGAAGAACCGGTAGGGGGAGCAGTGAGCACAGATGCTCCTGAGATGCCATTAGGAGGTAATGGGCGTAAGGAGTGGAGCGAGCCTCGAAGCTGTTCAAGACCGCGTTGAACTAATCCACGATGTTTGCCCCATCTTGATAAGGAGTTTTCGTAAAAAGTAATAGTTAGAATATAGAATTATCATACATGTCAGTATTAGTAAGCCTTTAACAGAACAAAAAGTATTAGTAACAAGAACCACAAACCAATCTAAGATATTATCGGCCGGATTTTAAATGGTGGATACTTCGACCTTACTCATTCAATTCACGCTAGTGGATATGATCACTATCCTGCATGCATTATAGCAATTATAGTTTCTGAGGTTCTATTATAAATTTATTATTCATCAATTATTTGAATATTTCATAGCAGAATATATTCAGTCGATTTCAGAAGCAAAAATTATGACTTTTTGCAACACAGGAATTAAAATGTGATTAAGATAAAATAAAACCTGCTATCAAACCAAGTGATTGGCTGTTTAAAGTCATCATTAGATCTAGACAACTTAGGTCATTTAGAGCGACGGAAGGACTCTATTGGGCGGTCGAAGCCGAGTAGTGCGCTTTAAGTGGCATAAAATTACTCCTCCGCTACAACGCGCGTGCTAATAGAAAAGATGTGACTCAAGGCCTCTGGTATCTATATAAGGTAAAATTGAATTTGAAATACATTAAATGACATTATTAATAAGCTAAATTAGTGTGGTTCAAAATTATGAATGGATCCGCTGTGCTTTGGCGAGCTCAAAATATATTTAGTAATGAGATAGTTGTGCGCTCTATTTATCAATCGGCCTATGCGACAATAATGCATATAGGATTCTTGTCCATTAGTATAAACCAAATAAGACAAGCCAGAATAAGCAGAAAAAGAGTAAATGAATGGCAATTATTCGCCAACTTAGTGTTAAATATTAAGTAATTTATGGCTGTAGAATAAAAAATATGAAAACTTTATTATTTGTAATGAGACTATTAAAATATATACTCATTTCGCTATACAACGAGTAGTCATGTTCTCCGAATCTGTTACCAGGCCTTCCATTTACTGCTAACGTGGTTTTAGTTCATTTGAAGATAAGGTTAGGTAAACATAAACCTAGACTGATATAGTTGACTGGGCATAAGGCCAGTTCCGCTGCTTTATAAATGTAAGATAGAACATATAAAACTCCCCTAATTATTTGGTTCATACTAAAACAGAACAAGTAAACCAATAGAAGATTTTCGTCCTAGCAACTGAGG